CCCCCCCCCCCCCTCCCCCCACCTCCCTTGCGCGCTGTCGCCCTGGCCCTCCGGGCTACACACCCGCTCAATTTATGGGAACGGGGTGGAGAAACCCTGAACCCTAAATCCTGAAGCCCAACCCATCGACCCTCAACCCTCAACCCTCAACCACAAGCCCTAAGCCCTGACTCCTAATCCCTAAACCCTACACCCGAAACCCTACACCCCAATCCCTAAGCCCTCAACCCTCAACCCTAACACTTAAATCCTACACCCTACACCCTGAATCCTGAACCCTGAATCCCGAACCCTAACCCTAAACCCTGTAAAAACCATAAACCCTGACCCCTAACCCTTACAACCTAACCCCTAAACTCTGAACCCTAAACCCTAAACACTAATAAACCCTAAACCAGAAACTCTACACCCTCAACCCGGGGGGAATGCCGGGGGTGGCTCACCCTCTCAGGGGAACCTTCAGGACAAGTTCCGGTGTCCGCCTATGTTGGGAGCTCGAAGAACCTAAAGGACCTCAAGGTTGACACCTGACCGACGACGAGGTGGCGCTCTCCTCTTTTCAACCCCTCGCGGTTCCCGGGCTAGTGCCCATGAGCGAGGTACCCCTGTAACCCCCGTCTTGCAGGCCGTACGCTCCTGGGGATGGGCCTTCGGGTCCAGCTAAGGGTCATACGAAAGCGCCCACCCCCCTAGGACCACCATAGCGCCCTAGGCATAGGCCTACTGTAGGGTTCTAGGGGGAGGCAGTTTCTTGTGAGCGAGGTATCCCTGTACACCAGGCTTCCCCCCTCAACAATGTGGCCCGCCCGCGATAACCCCTACATGTAAACCCCCTCCTCTGGAGGGAGTGGGATGACCACGGCCGGGAGCTAGGGACGTCACGTGTCTGCACGCCGACTACAGGGGTACCTCGATTACAAGAAAACGCCTCCCCCTAGGACCCTACAGTAGGCCTATGCCTAGGGCCCTATGGTCGTCCTAGGGGGGTGACGTTTTCTTGTAATCGAGGTAACCCTGTACAGGGGTTACTCGCGATTAAGAACACGCACAACCTCTAGGGA